ATTTCTGGCGCTATGCGAACAGGTGGGCTACATGCATGAGAGCGAGCGCATCGACCGCTACATCGGCGGCCTGAAGCAGGACATCGCTCAGGAAATCCAGCTTCGCGGCGTCACCGAATTTCAGGAAATTCTCGCTATGGCGGAGAAGCTCGACTTCTTTCGCCGACCGAGACCGGGGTCCTACGGAAACAACAACTGGGGACATCGGCCTCGTGGGACGGACGAAAGCGCCACGATACGCGCCGTCGCCGCAAATGCCGCTGCCGCACCGTTCAAAGGGCGCTGCTTTGCGTGCAATCGGCCGGGACATCGCAAGAGCGAATGCCCGGAAAGCGCTAAGGGAAAGGGGGAAGCTGAGCAGTAGACACAGACCAAGCAGCAGGGAAACGCTGGAAGTCAGTAGCAGACGGGCCCTCTACTGACAGGTCACGCCGCTCGCCCGACCCAACCGACCCTCACCGAGTGATTGTGCCGGTTCACGCAATCGACCACACCCGGCCGAATAAGGAGGGTACCACGGTAGACAGCCCTATAGTGCTCAGTGGGAAAATTGGGACGGACTTAGTTAAAATCTTCGTAGACGGGGGAGCCAGACACAGCCTCATTAACACTGCTACAGCACGAAAACTGCGACTGCCACTGGACAGATGCTTACCTGAGATCGACGCACGACTGGTAGACGGCACGCCACTGGCAATACGGGAACGCGTAGACCGAGTTCGGATTCGATGCGGGGGTAACTTCACGTTTAGCCAGGAAATGCTCGCAACGACCCTCGACGGAACCGACATTTTACTCGGGCGTGATTGGCTGCGACGACACAATCCGCGAATTGACTGGACGACGGGTGACTGCACCGTGCGAGTGAACGGTAGCAGCATCGCCTTACCTCGCTGGGGCTCGCCTGAGTCTTCGTCGGTGCGTGTCAATGCGATCACGATGAAACGCGCTGTAGCGGCCGGAGCTGACGTGTACGCGGTTGACATTCGGGAAGCCGAGGCAGCAGACAAGGGAGGAGATTTACAGAAACTGCTCACCGACGTACCGAGTGATCTGGCGGCATTGTTAACACGGTACAGTGACATTTTCCCGGACGACTTACCGACGGGACTGCCACCTCAGCGACCGCACGATCACAGGATAGAACTGGAACCGGGGGCACAGCCAACAGTACAGCGACAGTTCCGACTGACCCAACCCGAACTAGACGAACTGAGGAAGCAGCTCGATTACCTGCTCGAGAAGGAATTCATTCGCCCTAGTTCGTCGCCCTTCGCCGCACCAATACTGTTCACACCGAAAAAGGACGGGGGTTTTCGCATGTGCATCGACTACAGGGCACTGAACAGGGTTACCATCAAATCCCGTTACCCCATCCCACGAGCCGACGAACTGATCGACCAACTGCGCACAGCCCGGGTTTTCTCGAAAATTGACCTCCGGGGAGGCTACCACCAAATCCGCGTCAACCCACCCGACTGCCCTAAAACCGCATTCCGAACACGCTACGGATCCTTCGAATACACTGTCATGCCATTCGAACTGACCAACGCCCCCGCCACCTTCCAAATGACCATGAACGAAGCATTCCGCCCGCTTTTAGATAAGTGCGTCATCGTTTATCTGGACGACATACTGATTTACAGCCCTGACAGAGCACAGCACTTACAGGACATCGAAGCAGTTTTTAAAATCCTGAGTGAGAACCGTCTACTGACCAAAGCATCTAAGTGTGAGTTTTTACAGGACCGCCTGGAGTTTTTGGGACATGTTATTTCAGCTGCGGGAGTGGAAATAGACCCGAAGAAAATTGCGACGATTCAGGCTTGGCACGCGCCGACCAACTTGACCGAGTTGCAGAGCTTCCTGGGGTTCGTCAACTACGTGCGCCGGTTCGTCCCCGACATGGCGAAGCTGACTGCCCCGTTGACTGACCTGCTGAGGAAGGGGGTTGAGTACACGTGGGGGGAGAAAGAGCAAGCTGCCTTCTCGGCCCTCAAAAATATTTTGTGCTCCCCGCCCGTCCTTCACATTGCAGATCCCCACCGTCCGTTCGAGCTCGTCACCGACGCAAGTGACATCGCTGTGGGAGCAGTACTGTTGCAGGACTTCGGGAACGGCCTCCAGCCAATCGCGTACGAGTCCCGCAAGCTACACCCGCCCGAACGCAACTACCCGATACACGACCGCGAAATGCTGGCGATCGTGCATGCGTTCAAAGTCTGGCGGTGTTACCTAACTGGCGCCGACGTGACAGTACGGACAGACCACCGCTCACTACAGTACCTTCGCGCCCAACCGAATCTCAACCCACGACAGATTCGCTGGTTGGAGTATCTTGAGTCCAATTTTCACTACACCGTTACGTACAAAAAAGGTGCATCCAACATCGCCGACGCTCTCACCCGCCCCACTGCCCAACTCCACGCCATCCTACTCGCCCAGACCAACCCGCTTTTAACTGGCCTATTCACCCACGGATACCGCACCGACCCATTTTTCACGACCGGAAATTCACAGCAACTGGCAGAAGCAAAAGGAGTCTATTACGTAAAAGCAGGCACCAACCGCATTTGGGTACCCGCGTACTCACTACTGAGGGAGCTGCTACTACAGGAGGCACACGACGGGATTACCTCGGGACATTTCGGGGTAGAAAAAACACGACAGCAACTGCAGCGGTATTATTACTGGCCGGAGCTGTTGACCGACGTACAGCAACACGTGGGCTCGTGCCCTACGTGTCAGGTGATGAAGAGTTCAAGGAAGCGGAAGGCGGGTCAATTGCAACCGATCCCACCGCCCGAACGCGCCTGGCAGCAAGTAACCATGGACTTCGTCACAGGGTTACCTTCGAACCCTGGGGGTAACGACGCGGTGATGGTCGTCATGGATAGGCTGACGAAGATGGCACACTTCGCTGCGTGCAAGAAGTCGATCTCAGCCGAGGAGACCGCTCGCCTGTTCATCGCAGCCGTTGTTTGCCTGCACGGGATACCAGCAGCAATTATCAGCGATAGGGAGACGAAGTTCACCAGCAACTTCTGGAAGAACCTTTGGGAGCAGTTCGGGACCAGGCTACAGTTCAGCTCGTCGTACCACCCCGAGACCGACGGCCAAACGGAGCGGACGAATCAGACGATGGAGCAGTTGATTCGTGCCACGTGCGACGACCCCACGACCTGGGAGCAGCAGCTGCCGCTGATCGAGTTCGCGTACAACAACGCCACATCAGCCACGACGCAGCAGTCCCTGTTCTACCTGAACTATGGGCAAAACCCCACAGTGACCATGACGCCGAGTCCGGACAACCCAACGCCACGTGCACAACAATTCGCCGAAATCCTGCAAGCTGCCCGCACCAGAGCTGCCGAAGCAATCAAAAAAGCCAACGTCATCGCTAAGCGCAACGCTGATCGCCACCGCCGCCCTGTCACGTACCAATCTGGAGATTACGTGCTACTCGACACGCAAAATCTGCGACTGCCCGACGTACCAAAATTACGACCGCGCTACTGTGGACCATTCCAAATCAGTCACATGATCACACCCGTCACCGCACATCTACTGTTGCCAACCGACTGGTACATCAGCCCTTCGTTCCACGTCAGCCTACCTCGCCCATACATCCCGACCACAAGTCAACTGCCGCGTCACCGCCCACAATCAATGACTCGCCCTGCATCGGAGCCGATCATCGAGCCCGAAAAAATCCTGAGCCATCGGATCCGCCACCCCACGGGAATCAGGAGGATTGAATTCCTCGTTCGCTGGAAGGATCGCACGCCAACTGAGGACAGCTGGGTGCCCCTGACCAACATCGAAAACCACCCTGCCCTGCAAGTGTACCTGAGGAGCCGGGGATTCCGCGATATACACGCACTCGCGTAGCGGAGGGGGCTTCTTAAGGGGGGGGGTAGTGTAAGGAATTTTCTCGGCATTCCTTACGGAGCCGACTACATCGCGTACAACAACAGCCGATTGTTCGCCCGTTACTGCTAACGGGACTTCGCCGACTTCGCGCGCACTGTTTTGCCAAACCTCGCACTGCTGGCATGGCCGTGTCGGCCTACGCTTCGGGACTAGCCCGAGCCTCGCTCCAGCGTAGCACTAGCAAGCTCGCACGCACCGCGTTACCGTTTTGCATGCTTCGCGTATAAATATTCACTCATGCCTTCGCTCACATTTTGTACTCGTTTGACTCTCTAGTGCAATCCTCGCTACCTCGATTCATTGCACCCGTAACACTTGAGCACATTACACCAAACATCATGCCAGCCTTGCAATTGACGCATGTCAGGCGATACATGTCAGACTGTCGTGACGTGTCATCAGTGGGGTCAGCGCGTCACCGCCAAAGCTTGACCACGTCCCCGAACCGTCTCTCTTGGTACAACTGCAGGTTCATCGGCAAGCCGAGCGAGAGTCGATCGAGAGAATCGAGCCGCATCTGCCCTCGAAGTGCACACTAGGGTGGCGCTTTTCAATTTTCAAACATTCGAAATAACTGGAAATCCAGAAGTCCGAACTCCTGCCAGATACTCCACGGCTGGGCGTGCATCACCCAAGCAACAGCGAATACGTGCGTGCGCGTCGTTGTCCCTCCACTTCTCACCGACGTCGAACCTAGTCGCCGCATTAAAAACCGTCCGTGCACGGCGTCATCGACTGAGCTCGGAGGCGCTTTCCCGGCGTGAAGACATATCAACCTATCTTCTACGCGTCGCCGCGACGTGTAGACTCGTCTGTGCAAACCCTGGACGGACTCCGTCATAATACAGCGTTTGAACGGGCCGCGGGACCTCCTCCAACGGCGTGGCGCGTGGAAGCCATTCCGTGAGTCCAGGGCGACACGGACCTCGCAAATCACTACCCGCTCCACCCGTCACTGAAATACCGTTTACCTGTCGCAGTTGCAATTCTCCTCAGCTGTCTCATCCGTTTAACACGTTTCACCCGTCTCTCACCCGTGTTTTCCCTCTAGGCGCTCCGACCCCATCATGCTGCCGGCCTCAGCACGCACTACTACGGGGAATGATCATAGTAAATGTCCGCACGATGCTCATGCAACAACGGTACCAGCTGCGCCAGCGCCAATCGCGGCGGCCTCTTCGGAGGATGTGCCTCTCGTACTCGCGGAGAACGACGCGGTGGGACCAGGACCCTGGGTATCGTCGCGATTCGAGGCGGAAAATGTGTTCGAGCCGCGTGCAAGCGCGCAAGGGGGGGCCCGCGCGAAGGGGGAGGCGCGCAGCGGAAGGGGGAGGCAGATCGGGGCGGGCGGAGACGCGCGGCGGTGCCGGTGGGCGGTGAGGGTGGGGGAGTGGCGGCCGAGCGCGGAGGAGTTCTGGGCGGCAACGGCGCTGCTGCCCGTGGAACACCACGCGCACGTTCTCAGGTGAGCCACTCTCATTGGTTGGGATGCGCCCGCCTTTATTTCATATCCCAGTGTGATTACCTCCCCTTGCAGCCCTGTCCTTCCACCCCCCCTCCCTTCCGCCTCCTCTTCCCTGCAACACCCTGCCCCCGCTTCCATTCCCTTTGCGGTGCTCCCCCCGCCCCGCCGACGCCTCCTTCTACACGTCTCCCGCAGGTTTCTCCGCCTGTCCGATCGCAAGCGCGCGCTGGTGAGCCGGCTGGCGCAGATGGCGCTGGTGGCGCGCGCATGTGGCGCGCGGGGGGACGAGGTGGCGCTCGTGCGGACGAGGGAGGGGAAGCCGCATTATAAGGTGCGGCGGAGAGACATGGCAGGCGGGGAGGAAGAGGGGGACGTGCGAAGGCAGCAGGTAGAGTCACGTGACGGGAACTTTAGCAGTAGCTGCAGCAGCAGCAGTCGCAGCAGCAGGGATATCAGCAGTCGCAACAGCAGTTGCACCAGCAGCAGCAGCAGCAGCAGCAGCGTGCGTTTCAACGTGTCCCATCACGGGGAGTTCGTCCTCCTTGCCTCGGAACCCACGGGCACTGTCGGCGTAGACGTGGCGGCGCACGATTGGCCGGATGCCGCAGCCGCCGCTGCTGACATGGCGGCGGCTGCTGCTGTGGATGGAGATAGGGAGGAGTGCCTGCTGCGGTTGAAGCAGGGCGGGAATGGTGGCAGCAGCGCGGATGGTGGCAGGAGTGGGGACGGTGGCAGGAGTGGGGACGGTGGAATCAATAGGGATGGTAGCAGGAGCAGTGGGGGAGGAGAGTATTGCAGGGAGCGGGAGGAGGTTCAAGTGGTGGTGGCGGGTCGAGCAGGCGAGGGAGAAGTGGTGGGGGAGAGGGAGAGGGTAGTGATAGAGGATCGGGGGGAGGAAGGTGGGGGGAAAGGGCAAAGAGAGGAAGATGTGGTGGTTCTGGTGGGGGCGAGTGTGCGAAAGAAGGAGGTGAAGGGAGGAAGGTTGAAGAATAGGGGTTTGGTGGGTGGGAGTGAGTATGGGGGGAGTGGCAGCAGCACTAGTACCAGCAGCACCAGCAGCAGCACCTATCCTAGCATCAGCAGCGGCAGCAGCAGCAGCAGCAGCAGCAGCAACTACGGCAACCCTCAGCAGTTTTTCAAGCCATTCCGATCGCTGGGACTGCTGACGGCAAGGGAGTGGGTGGGCATAGAGCACGCAGGGGAGAGCACCTACGAGGAACAACACAACAACTTCTACAGGTGCGGTCAATGGAAAGGAAAAGTGGGTTTTTCACTCTTGAGCGTCTCAAAATCGGGCATAGAGCAGGCAGGGGAGAGCACCCGTGAGGAGCAGCACCATAGCTTCTACAGGTGCGCTCAATGGAAGGGAACAGGAGAGGTTGTGACTTTTGAGAGCCTCAAATGCGACCGTGGAGCACTCACGGGTATAGCACCCATGACGACTGCACAACAGCTTCTACGGGTGCGCTAAAAGAGGGTGAAAGCAGGGGCAGGTTGTTGCGCTTGGGGGGGGATGGCACCTTTTACGGAGCAGCACAACAGCTTCTACGGGTATGCTCAAGGGAATGGGGGACAAGAGGGAGGTCTTGACTTTTGAGAGTCTCGAAAGCGGCCATAAAGCAGGCTGGGGAGAGCACCCAGAAGGAACGGAATCACAGAATCACAGAATCACAGAATCACAGAATCACAGAATCACAGGATCACAGAATCACAGAATCACAGAATCACAGAATCACAATCACGGAATCACAGAATCACGGAATCACGGAATCACGGAATCATGGAAGCACACCCGTATAGGTGTGTTATAGGGAGGGGAAGGAGGGAGGGGGGGGCAATGTGTTAGTGGGCAATTGAAGGGGATGTGCGTGGGGATGGGGTGTTGATTTGAGTCATAGCTCATGCGTGGGGCCAAGCCTTCAATAGGCAGTACTATCTGACGTCTGGAAAGCCGAGGCTCAGACCCAAGTGTTTTCTGTTCCACCCTATATCCTACCACTTCCGCCACACCCGTACCCTCCAAGGGTGTGTGCGCCCAAGGGGTCACATGTGAGGGCCTTGAGCGTGGGGCTGGAGCGTTACTTGCTGTGTGAGCTAGGACTGACATTCTATAGATCATACAAGCTTATGCTGCCCATCCATAGCCAGTCCTCGTCCATCCGCGTAAATACGCTCTTCTTTCTCCTGCTCTCCTCCCTTTTGAGTCGACTCAAAAGTCACCTCAATACGCTCTTCTTTCTCCTGTTCTCCTCCCTTTTGAGTCGACTCAAGAGTCACCTCAATACGCTCTTCTTTCTCCTGCCCTCCTCCCTTCCACCTCTGCTGCCCTCCTCGTTCCCTCCTCCACCATACACTCTCCCAGGGTATGGGCACTCAAGGAATCGTATGTAAAGGCCATAGGCATGGGCCTGGGGTTTGACCTGAGCAGGATCGAGTTCACGTGGGAGAGAGCAGAGCGCAGAGTTCGCCCGTGCTGTTGTGTTGCTGCTGCTGCCGCCACAGCACCAACTCAACGGGAGGGGTGTTCTAGACAGGGTGCGACAAAATCTGGTGGTTTACAGAGCGGTGGTGCCACCAGCTCAGGAGACTGTTCAGGGGGATCTGGGAGATGTGAGATGGATTATGAGGAGGATGGAGTGAGGTGGGCGGAGGAGGGGGAGGAGGAAGGGAGGGTGATGGAGGCGAGGGTGTGTGTGGATGGAGTGATGCAGCAGGCCTGGCGGTTCTTTGTGCATAGACTGCCACATGACCACTGGGTGAGTGCTGCTGTATGCCATGTGCCGTGTGACATGTGCCGTCATGTATGTGCCTTGTACCGTTTTGTCGTGTAACAGTGCGCAATGCGGCACGTGCCAACCAACCACTGTTAACAGGAAATGCCGAACGGGTCTTAGTGACAACGCCGAACAGCATAACTGCAACGCTCATGTTCTCTCCCAATCCTCCTCTGTCAGTTATGTTTGATGTAAAAGCTTTTCTCCTTGATGCCTTCCCTGGGTTATTCTCATTTGCTTGCCTATGGCAGGTGGCTGTAGCTCGGGGTCCTTTATCGGACGCTACTCCAAGCTACCAACAACTCTTTGATGGGGATGCGGATGAATATGAATTGTCGCATGTTTCAAATGGTTGCCCTGAGCCTGCATTTGAGCTACTCTCTGTGGAGGATGTAATTTTGATGTTAGATTCATAACGTCATGAATTCACAATGTATCATATGGTAGTTTTGTGAAATCCATTATGTCTAGCGCTCCTCATTTGTGCAATTGAGAGGGGCGAGTGCCTATGGAAGGAAAAACATTTTTCCTTACTTCGCGTCCCTGCTCAGCGCGTACACCACTGTTCCCGCCAACAACTCCGAACAGTACCGTACAGCGTTACTGTTGGGCTGAGTGCCCCTTAGGATCTTTGGTAGGGTTAATCTTTGGGTAGAATGATAGTAGCGGAAGCGTTAACAAAGAGATTCTGAACCACCTTGCGCTAGTATGTGAGGGCAAAATAAGTTGATTAAAACAAGGAGATACAAGATTTTGTATATGATTACAAGGAATACGAAGAGATACGAATGATAACTGTTTTACTGTTGGCTGTTGCGGTTCGATACAGTGCGACTCGGGCAACTACTCAATATCGAGTCAGTTGTGTGTCCTTGCTGTCGCGCTGCATTTGTCAAGTCAAAGGTCGCTGACCTTTGACCTTCGCGTAACCTCCAGCTGTTGCTTCAACTTCCGAGGGTTGACTCGCTGGTGCCTCGATATGCGTTGCTTCACTTGTGTCTTAAGTGTTTCGACACGACAGAGGCGCTTAGGACCGATTGTTTCCAACACTCCCCTTCGCTTCTGGAGTGTCGCTGACGTGGCTCTGTCCAGTCAGCAGCATGCAATATTCGAATTTCTGCTTTCCGAGCTTTTTGGTCAGGTAGTCAGCTGCCATTTCGGACGTGGGGCAGTATGACAGCTCGAGCCTTCCCTTCTCGATCTCGTCCTTCACGAAGAAGTATCGCAGGGCGATGTGTTTCGTCCTGTTCGCAAAACCGTTCTTGTTGGCGATGCGAATTGCCGACTGGTTGTCGCAGAACAGGGTAAAGTTGGGTAACTCGACTAACTTCGCTTCTTCCAGCAGCTCGCGAAGATAGAGTCCTTCCTTGGTGGCTGAGCAGAGTGCAATATATTCTGCTTCAGCTGACGAGAGAGCAATTAGTTCCTGCTTGCTCGGTTGCCAGGAGATAGGCCCGATAGGCTCGAAGCGATAGATGTAGCCGGTGCGTGATCGTCTGTTGTCGGAGTCGCCCGCGTGATCTGCGTCGACGTAACCGATTAGCTTAGGTGGCGTGGTCGCGTTCTTGTGATATGTTAGGCCGATTGTTGGCGTACTGACGAGATAGTGTAGAGCGCGGTTGAGTTCGGCCATGTGTTTTGCTTCAGGCCTTTTGAGATGAGTGGCGAGCTGGCTTGCGGAGTATGAGAGGTCGGGGCGGCAGGTATCGGCTGCGAAGAGAAGGCATCCTAGCTTTCTCTGGTAGTCGCGTATCCCGGCAGATTTGAGTAGAGTGGATCCTTCCTCGTGGTTTCCTGTCGCGTAGCGGTAGGGCGTAGAGATGGTGGTAGGCGTGAGCGTGAAGCGTTTGGCGATGGTGTCGGCGTACTTAGTGGCGTTGAGGTAGATCGCATCTTCTTCCTCTCGAATGTTCAAGCCGAGGTACTGTGTGACGGTAGAGGAGACCGTGAGTGTGAGGTCCCTCTGTAACTCCCCTTCGAACCAGGTGGTGATGTCGTCAGTGGAGCCGATGTAGAGTAGGTCGTCTATGTAGACGATCAGCAGGATGTAGTTGGTACCCTTCATGAGTCGGTACATTCCTTGGTCGTGAGGTAGTTGGCGGAATCCGATGCGAATGAGGCAAGCGTGTAGGTACTGTTGCCACAGCCACGGGGCTTGTTTGATTCCGTAGAGCGATTTCAGCAGCTGGCAAACCTGGCTGGGCTCTCCGTTAGTACCGTGCGGTAGTTCCACGAAGATCTCTGCGTCGACAGGTGCGTAGAGGAACGCGTTGGCGACATCGATTTGCCGTAGCTTCCTTTTCTTCATGGCGGCGATCGCGAGAAGGATTCGAAGTGAGGTATGTCGGCTAACCGGGGCGAATGTCTCGGTGAACATCCGTCCGTGCTCCTGATCGAATCCACGCACAACCCAGCGTGCATTGAACTTCTCAATTGTGCCGTCTGCTTTTGTTTTAACGCGGAAGACCCATTTCCCGGTGAGAATGGTCTTCTTCCTTGCCACGTTGATGGGGACAACTTTCCAGGTGTTCCGTTCCTCCAGCGCTTTTAACTCTCTGTCCATGGCTTCACGCCATTTTTCCCTGTGTTCCCCCCCCAGAGCCTGCTAAACCGTCGCAGGCTCCTTAGGAAGGGTGTTGTCGTGGACTGCGGTGACGAGGCCGAGTATCTGCAGTCCAGTCTGTGAGTAGCGGGGAAGAGTTGCATCCTCGGGATAAGCTGCTTCATCTCCCGCTTCTAGATCAGGTATGAAATTCGGTCCTACTCGTTCTGCTTCGTTGGTGTTGACTGTCGCAGGTGTTGCGTAACCGTTGTCGGCGAAATAGTAGAAGGTTTCGGCGTTGACACTTTCGCGAGGGTTGTCTTCGTCCATGGGAACGTCGATGGAGCAGAACGGGAGAGGTCCGGCTTCTTCTGACGCGTTGTCCACATTCTGCTCGTCCCACTTAGCTTCGTCTTCTGCGGAGGCGAAGGCTCGGTCGCCACGAAAACCACCTGTGGAATCTTGGTCCTCTTGCAGGTTGGCAAGGTACGTCTGGAGCGTGAGCCGTTCGTAGAAAATGACGTCACGTGCTGCTACTGTTTCCTTGGAGTGGACGTCGAAGATTTTCCACGCGTTGTAATTCTTTTCGATGCCGAGGTGTAGTCCCCACTGTGCGCGTTGTGAAAATCGGCCCGTTCGTGCTGCTGGGGGTCGATACTGTACCATGCATCTGAACACTCGTAACATTTTTGTGCTGCCCTATTTCCCTGTCCACAGCAGATGCGGTGATGTGTTGTTCGGAAGCGACGATGACGACAGCAAGTTGTGCAGCATGACAGCGTGGTCCATTGCTGCAGGCCACTGGTGGTTGGGTAGCCGCATGCCACGTAACAGTTTGCGCATGCTGTTCTGCAGAGTCCTGTTCATTCTTTCTGCTACACCTTGCTGCTGATGGGCGTAGGGAAGAGAGAGGAGCTGCTTGATCCCCCTTTCCGCCAGGTACTGCTTGAATCGCTGAGAGGTGTATTCTCCTCCTCCGTCTGACTGGAAGCTTTTCCGCTTTACGCCCGACTCTCTCTCTGCTACTGGTAGCTTAGCAGCGAATGCTTCGAGGACCATGTCGCGGCTGGGTAGGTTTAGGTGCCAGACGTAACGGGTGGCGGCGTCGATGAAGGTGATTGTGTAGTTGTAGATTACTTGTCCTGGTTCCCGATTGTACAGGATGTCGCTATACACCTTTTCGAGTGGTGCGTACGCGGGTGCGCTCGGGTTGTGACGAGGAGCGAACGGCCGATGTGGTAAGTCGGCTTCGGGGCAGGTAAGGCATGTTCCTTGTGCCCGTTGGAGTTCTCTGCCGTCGAGTAGTAGTAACGAGTCCTTGTCAAGGACTCCTGCTCTTATTGTGTTGTTAAACACAGTGTTGCTTGGGTGTCCCATCCTTGCGTGCCAGGTGCTTTCGTTGGCGCGATGTCCGGGTGATCGTCGGTACATATCGGAGTTGGAATAGAAGCTGGTGGTGAAGTTTGGGCTACGATGAACTTCTCGTGGTGCTGGGTGGAGCTGTTGTGCTGGTGTTGGTGGTGTTTCGTCAACGAGGACTGGTGTCGTTGTTGCTGCTACTGTTGTTGTTCCTGCTACTGCCGATGATGTCTCTGCTGCTGCCGATGATGTCTCTGCTGCTGCCGATGTTGTCTCTGCTGCTGTCGATGTTGTCTCAGCTGCTGCCGAATGTTGTATTGTTACTAACGCGCGTGTTCGTTCCGCTTCAGGAATGGTATGTGAATACCAAAAGCCTTCCGGACTGAAGTCTGGATCAAGGTCTGGAGGATGTGTCCAGTCGGTGAAGTTAACGATGGCGTCGCTGTCGGCGGTGCCAAGGTCAGGGACAAAATCGAGGACGAAGACGTTGTTCTTGAGGACCGCCTTGCTGATGTAGAGACCTCCTCTCCCGTGATACAACTTGAATTTTTGGGTGGTGCTGTCTGCTTCGAGATGTATGCCTTTCGCCATTAGCTGACTGACGCCCAGTAAGTTGTAGCCGAGTCCCTCCACGATTAGTACTTTTGACATCTGTAGTATAACATTTGTTTCTCGTGAGTGAAGTTGCACAATCCCTTGTCGTGTGCGCAGGTTCTGGTTATTGGCGACTGTGATGACGACCTCTCGTTGAAGTCGGTGCTCGCGTTGAACGAAGCGTCCCGAGGAGCACATGTGCTATCCGCAGCAACTGTCCAAGAACCATGTGTCTTTCCCGGACGGTTCCCTTTGAGTGATGGCGGCGTACGTCGGGTTCGGTTGGAGTGACTCGCGGCGAGACGTGCTGTTGTCGATTTGTTCTTCTGGTGAGTAATATGGTGGTGACTCAGTTACGCAGGAGTCGCTCAGCTTTGCCATGCAGCTGATGATGTTTCTTGTTTCTTTCGCAGGTTGTCCTGTCGATGTTGTTGAGACTTGTACCGAAGTTGTCGGATTTGCTTGCGTTGAGGCGACTTGACTACTTGAAGGGCGAAGTTGGCGTTGTGGCGACGTTGACTGTTGTCGATTCGGGCAGTGCGTACGAGGATGCCCTGAAGTCTTGCAGAGGTGGCAGAACGGAGGTACGATTTTCGGTCGACTGTTGTTGTTGTTGTGGCGCCGTTGAGTGTGAAACGCGAATTCGGGTACTGATACCCTTCTCTTGTGTCGTTCTTCTTGCAGGTCCATGTCTTGCTGCTCAGCATGGATTTCGGCGTAGAGTGCTGCTTCGGAGATTCTCCCGTGTGCTTGTAGTATGGCGCGAGTGGAGCGCCAGTGAGGACCAAGACCGCCGATGACAACCGTGACGAAGGCGTCTTCTGAAATCGATCCTCCACATCGAAGAAGCTTGTCGCGCAGCTCGCGGCAGCGACTGATATACGCCATTCCCTTCTCGCCTGGTTTCATTCCGATTGTTGTCAGCTGCGCCATTAACCGACTTTGGTTTACGCTGTCTGTTGCTTAATACAGGTTCTTCAAGTGATTGTACGCGAGCTCCGCGGAGTTGCCATAACCTCGGTAAGTCCTTATGTTCTGCTGTTGAGTCGGGGTGATGTTCCTTAGTAGTATCGTGTACGCCATCATCGATTGATAGGTGTACTGCTGCTTCTCATATTGTGTGCCGTTTGTTGGGTATGGCAGGGACCTGTCAAAGAAGCCAAGGATTTGCGCTCCTTCCATCATCAGCTCGAATTCGAACGACCAGGTAAAGAAATCCTTCCCGTCGAAAGGTTTTGTTGTTAGCAGTTTTAAAACGTGCGCGATCTGCGACTGAACTTGTAGTGCGTCCAGCGTTCTTTCTTGTCCCGGTGCAGGTTGTGGTTGTGGCATGAAACTGACGGAGCCGCGCTGGGGCTCGTACGGAGCGAAGGTAGGTTGTTGTTGTTGATTCCCGCGTGCGTAGGATGAGCCATCGAGACTCATGGGTGTCACGTTGTTGTTGTTGTTGCTGTTTTTTGATTGCGCATGTACTCGTTGCTGATGCTGCTCGTAGAAGGACATGAAGGAGAAGAGCTTCTCCATCATGCTTGGATCGAAGCCCGCGCCTTGGTTTGCGGGTGTTTGAGTAGACCTAGCGGCCGGTCTCGTTGTTGTGCTTTCCTTTGTCTGTAGGCCAGAGGCAGGAGGTGGAGTAGGAGTAGTACCAGGAGAGCCGTTGGAGGAGCTCCTCTCCTTTCTGGTCGACATGTCTCTTGGTGTAATTTAAGGGGAAATAGAATTTTAACCCTAACCAGCTCTCATAACATGTTGGGCTGAGTGCCCCTTAGGATCTTTGGTAGGGTTAATCTCTGGGTAGAATGATGTAGTAGAGGAAGCGTTAACAAAGAGATTCTGAACCACCTTGCGCTAGTATGTGAGGGCAAAATAAGTTGATTAAAACAAGGAGATTCAAGATTTTATATATGATTACAAGGAATACGAAGAGATACGAATGATAACTGTTTTACTGTTGGCTATTGCGGTTCGATACAGTGCGACTCGGGCAACTGCTCAATATCGAGTCAGTTGTGTGTCCTTGCTGTCGCGCTGCATTTGTCAAGTCAAAGGTCGCCGACCTTTGACCTTCGCGTAACCTCCAGCTGTTGCTTCAACTTCCGAGGGTTGACTCGCTGGTGCCTCGATATGCGTTGCTTCACTTGTCTCTTCAGTGTTTCGACACGACAGAGGCGCTTAGGACCGATTGTTTCCAACAGTTACCACTCGCGACACTCGCCTCGACTATAGTTCCCCCCACTGTTCACGACGCGACCTAACCTCACGGTTCTGTTGATAACCCCAGGGCCCTAGATATCAGACTTTGGAGTCTGATTCAGAGTCCGTTCAGACTCTTTTTTTTTTACCTAGTCTGAACTCCAATAATTTTTTTATGCACCCTGTCTGATTTTTCAGAGTTTTTTTAACTGACTTGTCTGAAATTTCAGCGTTGTCATAGTAGTGTAGGCTGAGCCTCAGACTTGTTTCGGGGGTCCACTCTGAAACTGGTTATACAGGGGTTTCCGCCAGCCTGAATGTAAGGTTATTGAAACGAAACTTCCTCGAAACCTCTTTTCGATACACCCACGTGTGTACGGGCCAGCACTAACGATTTCCTCCGGATAAAACTGCTCGAGTAGGGGCACCATAATACACTACGTTTTCGACGCGGTCACGATTTTAGATTTTATTGGGGACTTATAATAACCCAAAAATTATGAAACTAGATAGCCAATCGCACATGGCCAAAACGATTTTAGCGACTCGCACATGGCGAAAAGCGAATTGGTGCAAACGAAAGCCTTGTCACATATGAGTCTCGTACTTCAGCAGAACCGCACATCATTTCCCCTTGCCAAACCGAGTATAAATTTCGAAGCTGCAACTTTAGGAGAAAATATTCCACGCACATACGGTGGACACAGTTGAAAACTCTTGCTGCTGCCAGCGCGCCCAGCACAGAAAAGTGCCGAGCGATACCGTGCCTGCTGCCAGGTCAGCTGATTGTGAGCTTTGCCACACTTGGCACTTGCACGACGCCATTGTTTGAGGGTTTTGAGTTGATCACGCACTGTTACCCACACCTTGACCCTGACTGCTCAGTGTTCCTAAAATGGCCAATCAGAGTGCCCCATTTCTGGCCGCACATTTGCGTTGGTATGCTGTAATAATCTTCAATGCTATTATAACTATGCTGTTATGAAACTGCATGAACATCTTAAAATTTGAAGTAACTCTGACAGTTCAGACAAAAAAATTTGTGCTTGTCTGAATTTTCAGACTAAAAAAAAAAAGGTAACTCTTACGGCCAGACTAGGAAGAGGGGTGTACTCTGAGGCATCAGACTACCTCAAAATGAATCTAGGGGCCTGGATAACCCGCGCTCTGGACCTCCGCCTCGACAATTCCCAGCCTTGGCGCTAGGCCCGTAGCGCACCCCGTTTTCACACATTACTATTACCACTCTAGGTTCGCTATATACCGTCATCGCCCGGATATAAGACATATATGTCTTATCTCGTACACGGGCAAAAATGCTTGAGTGATCTTGTAAACAGGATGGTTTAGGGTGTCTTATAATTCTTATAAATGGAAAAAAATTGAAGTTGACTGTAACACTTGCAAAGTGTGTAGAAAACACCCAGGGACCAGATTCATTGAAACAGGCCGACCTCGGTGGTGATGCAGCAAAGCTGCCACCGCTGGCAAGATTCCTCTGTGCTGGCAGCATCTAATGATGCTGCCAGCGTCGTTTTGCTGCCAGCAGCGCATGGCAGCTTCCAGAACGCTGCTGGCAGCACGTTGGCAGCGTCAGGCTGTCCTCTACGAGGAGATGCCTCGTAGAAGAGCGGCTCGGCACCTGTGGATGGGGCACTCTGGCTGGGGGGGGTAGTCGGTCTTTCACTTCATTTGGTGCTCATGGAGGTTGAATTCTCACCTCAACCTTGCTCTCGGCAGGCTCTCTAACCATGCGCAGCAAGGTACCCCAAGGCAAGTCCTCACCCCGTCCTCACGTGCAGGTGAATAACTACGGGCGAATTAACTCGCCCGACGATGACATCGGCGTAGCCATGGCAAAGAACGCGAGCAAGGCGGGAAGTCCTACCGCCGCCTCCGGTGCGAGTTGTGACGGGGAAGACGGAGACGAAGCACACGGCGACGACGCCGAGGAGGATTGGCCGGAGAACGGCCACGATGACAGCGCTTCGGGCGACGAATTTGGTACTGCCGACATCGAGGAGGACGAATGGTGGAATCAGCCGGTCGGGAGCGACGACGAGGTGGAAGACTGGCGGGCTGGTGATTCCGACAACGACGGAGGTGAAGATGCTGGAGGTGACAACGCGGAGGCACAGGAAGCGGCGGTGGATGCGAATGAGGCTGCCGACGAGGCGGCGGCGGAACTCGAGACAGAGGCGCCTGCGGATGCGGACGCGGTGGCGGAGGCGAACAAGGTGGCTGCGGATGCCGTCTTATTTGAGGGTGAGGGCAACGACGATGACCCGCGGAGCCTTGGGACAGACGACGACATTCTGCTACTGAAGCGGAGGCTGCGCCATCGCCTACAGTCCACGACGAAGCGCGCCCGCGTGGTGCTCTGTGACGACGACAGTCCCGGGGAGGAGCGTCGCCCCCTACTCACCGCTGCGGAGAAGGGAAAGGCAAAGGTCGTGGAAGCCCCTGCTAAGTCCCCTGCTAAGGCCCCTGCAAAGGCCCCTGCTCGTGGCCGCACAAGCAACAAGAAGCGCAAGGACGACGGAGACCCTGGATCCAGCAAGGGTGCGGCAAAGAAAAAGGCGAAGAAGGCGCCGAATCCTGACGACATCATCGTCAACGAGGCGTTGGGCAGCGACGATGAGTACGCGGCGGCGGCGGGCCCGATTCCCACGTTCCCTGAGAAGGAGGAGCCGAAGGACCCCACCCTCCATAATCCCAACACCCGCCCACCTTCCCCTCGCAGCAAAGACACTACGAAGAAGCGCCGCGGCTGGACCGTGCGTGAGAAGGTTAAGTGGGCGCGCCGCTATCAGGAGCTCGGCTCCTTGAAGAAGACTAGCTTGGAGTCAACCGCGAGCGTCGCCTGCATCAGACGCTGGTGCGCGGAGGCGGCTGCGGGCATCTACAAGGGCGCGGCTAACTACCGCAAGCGGATGCACGGGGGGGGCCGCCACGCACACTACCCCGACATGGAGGCAGCGTTGTACCGCTACATCTGCCTTCAGCGCGCTAACGGGGTGGCCATCTCGGTGAAGGACACCCAAAAGTGGAGCCGCGAGTGGATGAGGAAGCATTACCCCGGCAAGAACTGGAACGCGAGCTCTCACTGGAGCCAGCGTTTCCGTGACCGCTGGAACCTGGTGATGCGGGTGAAGACGAAGGTCGGACAACGTCTGTCGGCAAGTGCGTGGATAAGGAGTTCGTGCCGCGCACGGCCCATTGTATGCATGTCTTACCTTGCTCGTTGTCTAACCGTCCCTCACTTCTGTTCCTGTCCCGTTTGCAGAGTGCGCGAAGGATTGCGAGTCCTTCTGGAAGTTCGTGCGCATCAACAGGGCGCGGCACAACATCGACATGGCCCGTATCATCAACGCGCACCAGACGTGACTGTTCGTGGAGATGCCGGCCGAGAGGACGATCGAGCACCGTGGCGCGCGCTCGGTCCTAATCCGAACTGCAGGCTACCAGAAGACGCGCTTGACGGTGATGCTCGCGTGCACTGCATCCGGGGAGAAGCTGCGGCCGTGGGTGTGGTTCAAGATGAAGAACGTCCCCAACTGTGAGATTCAGGACGGTAAGCGCCATGACTTCAACCTTGCCCCTGCCTCATGAGCGTGCCCCACTGTGCTGATGTCCGTCTGTCCCTTGTGTGCCTGGCAGGAATCGTGGTCCAAGCACATGACAACGGGTGGATGGACGAGAGCGCTGTGCAGACTTGGGTGTCCAAGGCGGTGCTTCCCCATCTGAACCCCCAGCGCGGCAAGAGCGCGAGGCGTGCGATGCTGGTGTTGGACTCCTACCGCGGCCACATCACCCAGACCATGCTTCAGTCGTACCGCATGCACAGCATCACCCCTGCAGTCATTCCAGCGGGTTGTATGAGCCAGATTCAACCCCTGGACGTCTCCATCAACCGGTGCTTCAAGGCTGCCGTGCGAGCGCGCTACGCCAAGTGGTTCATGCATGAAGGGATTCACCTGAAGACGAAGAAGGGTGAGTTGGCTGTTCATTTTAAATTCCTGCTCTGTTTCATGTCCTTATGGTTAACATCTCGTTGCCGTGTCCTCTGTCCCACCCGGTGCTGTAGTGGATCGCGGAGGCTTGGGATCAAGTCCCCAGGCAGATCATCATCGACGCGTTCCGCCACTGTGGGATCTCCAGCAAGCTGGACGGAACGGAGAACCACCTGATGATGTCTCACCTGCGCGCCAGGAGCACCACCGATGTCTCCGAGGACATGTCCCTCGGGGGGACCACACGCGACAACATGCGCCTGCTTCGGAAGGCTCCAGAGGAGGAGGAGGAGAAGGAGGAGGAGGCGATGCAGGCGGAGGGCATGGGGGAGGTGGCCGTGGCAACTGGCCTGGAGGTGCTGTACCAGGAGACCCCCAACTACCGCGGAGTAGCAGCCGAGGCTGACCGCATGATCGAGCCAAGGGAGACGGCTAAGCATGCCTGGCGAGTGCCAGACCTGGGCGTAGAGCCTGTTGCTAGTGCTGCAGAGGAGGCGGTTACTGAGGGGGGTTAGGTAGAAGTAGGGATTCATGAATGTATGGATGTACCCCCCTAAAGTAGTGTAGGCTCGTTTAGAAGAAACCCCCTGTTTATAAGAAAACCCCTAAACCCCGGTTCTGATTATAAGACATATATGTCTTATCTCGTACACACAAATAGGTGTCGTATAAAAAGGCTAGCCTATTTATAAGAGACACCCGTATAGTAGACAACCCCTGTCTACTATTCAACACTGTCTTATATCCGGGCTATTCTTCGCTCATGCCTTCGCTCGATGTATTGTTTTGCTTCCATAGTGCAATTCTAGCTCGCTCGCTCAATTACACTCAGAGCCTACGATCTTTCTAGGGCCGCATCCACACCTTCGCTTCCCCACTATCTCATTTTTTGGAGGGGTCTAGACGTCTCTCAATGTCCAGGCATCGCCGCTCGAAGTGCTCTCTCGGAAGCACGCATGGCCACGACCGAGGCTATCGCGAAGCTTGCCCGACACCCCCGCCATGGCCGAATTCAACCTTGCGACGTTGACGTAGGAACAGATCGACCGTCTCGTGCGCCAACTCGAATATTTGACGCTCGAAATTGCAACTCTCACAGCGCAACGTGACTCCACCCGCCAGCAATCAATAGTGAACCCACCAGCGCCAACACAAGCACATGCAAATGCACCTGCGCAATCGGATGAGCCGATTATCATTTCATCTGGCACACCATCACAGCACGACAGCATGGGACAACGCTCAGGTGCAGCCAGTGATGGGAGCCCAATCAATGCCTGGCATGGAGACAACCAGGGCCACACCAAGCACGAATGGCCACACCAGCACCACCCACGAAGCCCATCGTGACGTCGAATTTGCGGCAACGATCGGCAACAACGACATCATCGCACCGATGTCGCTCCAACCGTAGCGCCCGCCCTATTTCGATCCTAGCCAAGGCGGAGGTTCGACTGTTCAGTCGTGGGTCTTCATGATGAACGACTTCTTTAATGCGAATTACGCCGAGTCAGACGCAGCGAAGATACGATACGCCGTTTTGCTACTATGGCCCGCCATGGACTGGTGGCTTTTATGAAGAAGAAGTGATTGCACTATGAAAGTTGGAGTACAAGTAGGAAACCCTAACTTTGTGTACCCCCTAAAGGCTAACCCACTATAGCCTACACAATAATAACACATATAGTGTTTGACACACCCCCATAGGCAAAGTGGGGGAGAACAAGGGGTCACAAGACCAGTCAAGAAAGGCAAGCAAGCTCAGGGTGGATCACAACGTCACCACACACTCCGAGCACAAGCAAAGGGCCACAAGGCCAGTTCACATGCAGAAGTATATATAAGTAGTACAGACACCAAGGGTGATCTCAACCTAGCAGAGCAAACGGGCAGGAGTATATATAGAGATCACAGTACACGCAAAGCCTACAACAAGTGAGGCAAACTGGGCACTAGCCCCAACAAAGTACAGAAGCGCTGATGATCACCAGGCTGAAGTGCCTTGGTGAAAATATCAGCGGTGTTGGCCTGAGAGGCCACGTAGCGCAAACGAAGCTGACCACGCTGCTGCAGCTCACGAGCAAGGAAGTAACAGAGAGCGATGTGCTTCGTTCTGTGCTCCAGTCTGTGCTCCTCACACAAGGCAATGGCAGCCTTGTTGTCGACGTACAGCACTGGAGGAGAACTAGGCCGCTCTCCAAGGTCGGTCAGCAGGTAGGCGAGCCAGCGTAACTCCTGTGCAGCCATGGCTGTGGCGTAGATCTCAGCCTCACAACTAGAGCTGAGAACCGAAGACGAACGAGTAGAGCGCACGAAACTGAACCAGAGCCAAGGCTGAAGGTGTAACCCTGTGACAACCGCTGAGTAGCCTGGTCGTCAACCCAAGAAGCGTCTGAGTGCCCAGTGAGAACAACTGAGCTCCCTCCTCCAAGCACGAGCCCCATGCCTGATCTACTGCACAAGTAGCGCAATACCCTCTTTGCAGCATCTCAGTGCACCTTTCGGTGACGACGAGCCAGAAGGCCAAGAGGGTATGCTAGGTCAGGACGAGTGCAAGTCATCAGGTACATGAGGCAACCAACTAGCTCTGGGTAAGGACAACTCAACTCTACGGACTCATCCGAAGGCAGAGCTGAGAGCGAGTGACCTATAGCCAGAGGAGTGGCCTGTGCTGAGGACCAGGTGAAGCCGAAGCGCTGAAGGACCTGCTGCACCATGTGTGACTGAGTCAGGGTAATGGTGCGGCGTGCTCTGTCCCAGGTGATCTGCAAGCCAAGGTAGCTGCGCAGTTCACCAAGGTCTGTGCACGTGTGTCTCTTCTGCAGCTCCGACTTCACGTGGGCGAGAGACTCAATGTCAGCTGTGGCAAAGACCAAGTCGTCGACATACACGAGGATGTAGAATGGCGGCAGCAAAGTGTCGGTGCATAGAAACAGCGACGGGTCAGCAGTAGAAGGAGAGAACCCAAGTGCCGCAAGAGTAGTCCTCAGTGTGTCGTGCCACTCACGTGGCGCCTGGCGGAGACCGTAGACCGGCCGGCGGAGGCTCCACTGGGTACCAGGAGGGAACGACCCAGTGAAGCCAGGAGGGCAGCGCAGCCAGATCTACTCGTGCAGGCTGCCCTGCAAGAAAGCTGTGTTGAAGTCAAGAGAGTGAAGCTCGTAGTTGCGCTGAGCAGCAACGTGCAGTAGTACCCATAGAGTGGTCATCTTCGGGGTGGGGGAGAAGGTCTGGAAGAAGTCTACTCCCTCTCGCTGACTGAAGCCTCGAGCAACGTAACGAGCCTTGAAGACAGGCGGAGAACCCGGCGGCCGCTTCACCCTGAAAATCCACATGCCACTGACGATGTTCGCCCCATGTGGGGGAACCTCGTCGACGTAGGTGCCTGTGGACTTCCAGGAAGCCATCTCTGTGTCCATGGCTGACTGCCACTGTGAGGAGTAGGGACCTTTGATCGCCTCAGCGTACGATCGAGGAGTCGGGATGTCTGGTGCATCCGGGTCTCCCTCAGGGGCAACTAGCATGGACACGAAATGGGGCGCACCGGCTGCAAGACACTCAAGATCCTCCGGTCTGTCCTCAAGGACGTCCGTGCTAAGAGCACACTCACCCCCGACAGACGGAGGACAGACAGACTCAGACTCAGCGAGAAGACTGGTAGCGTAGTCTAGACGACAGCGAGCAGCAAAGTCGACAAGCTCAGCAACTAGGGCAGACGCAGCAGAAGACTCAAACGAAGGGTCAGTGACAACAAAGGCCAGGAGACGCGTGACAGCAGGACTGGCAGCACGAAGAGAGTCAGACTCAGGGTCAGCAAGAGCAGGAAGAGAGGACTCAGGAGGAGACGGCAGAGGGACACGCTGTGGAGCAGTGGAGGGACGCAGTGACATCCGGTGTGTGCCAGGGACTGGTGGCGGACGCTCACCCGGAGTACAGCAACTGGTGGAAGTAGTACGAACAGGGGACTCAGGACGGGACATAGGCAACACAGGGCGAGACTCAGGCTGACGACGCTCTGTGAGACCGCCTGTAGGACCAGTGTAGGGAGAAGGACGAGGAAGTGGCGAGGCAGGCGGTAGCTTTGACTGCGACTGGACCAGCGGTGGACACTCTACAGAGGGAGGGGGACAAGGCGGAGGTGACTGACCAAGAACTTGCTGAAGGAGTGGAACAAAGTACGGCCGCGGCTGTGAGGTGCCCCCTGCAGCAGCAGAGACAGCACCACAATCTCCAGCAGCTCCTGCAGCACCCCCTGCACCTCCAACGCCCGGGTCTGCAGCACCAGCAGCAGCTCCAACGCCCGGGTCCGCAGCACCAGTAGCAACCCCAACTCCAGGGTCCGCAGCACCAGCAGCAGCTCCAACACCCTGGTCCGCAGCACCAGCAGCAGCTCCAACGCCCGGGTCCGCAGCACCAGCAGCAGCTCCAACGCCCGGGTCTGCAGCACCAGCAGCAGCTCCAACTCCCGGGTCCGCAGCACTAGTAGTAACCCCAACTCCAGGGTCCGCTGCACCAGCAGCAGCTCCAACGCCCGGGTCAGCGACACTAGTAGCGCCACTCCTGAGACTGCAGCGCCGTGCGTACCACTCACGAAGACGCTGGGGAGAGGGCAGCTCCCGCCTAGGCGAGGAAGCACGAGCACTAGCTCCAGCAGCACCCCTAGCTCCACAAGCTCCTCTCCTGAGGCTGCAGTACTGTAAGTACCACTCACGCAGCTGCTGTGAGGAGAGAGCTCCTCCAGGCGTAGCACTCCCAGGCTCAGCACCCCCAGACTCGGCACCCCCAGACTCAGCACAAGCAGGCTCCGTACTCCCAGGCTCAGCACCCCCAGACTCCGCACCCCCAAGCTCAGTACCCCCAGACTCTACACCCCCAGGCTCAGCACCCCCAGGCTCAGCACCCCCAGTCTCCGCAACCTCAGGCTCGGCACGCTCAGGCTCAGCACCCCGAGCAGGACGAGAGTCGACAGCTACCTCGACAAGCTCAACCGGGTCTACCTGGGACACACCTGAGGCAGCGGCACCTTGAGGGGGGAGGGGGTCTACTACAGCAGCACCTGGCGCGAGGAAGAGAGGCGGGGGAGGGAGCGGGGCAGTGCGGTTGGGGAAGAGGCGGTAGAAGGGTACCGACTCGTCAAAGGTGACGTCCTGAGAGGCGAGGACACGGCGCGAGGTGGGGTGGTAAAACTGCCAACCAGACGCGTCCGGAACAAAGCCTAGGAAGACACACGGAACATCGCGGGAGGAGAGCTTGTCCGCGGACGTATCGTGAACAAAAGCTCGGGATCCCCAGACCCGAAAACGGACACATCGCCAACCTCTCCTGCCCAACGTAGTGTCGGGGAGGTCTCCGGCAAGGAGACACGGGGCCAGAGGTTGAGCTGATGCGCATCGTATCGGACCGCTAACGGCCACAGAAAGTGGGGGGTAGCCGCATGGATCAAGGAGGTACGAGCGACCTCCATGACCAAGCCAATGCGGCGCTCAGCAACCCCATTCTGCTGTGGAGAGGCCGG